CCTGTCCTTTTGTATGTGTGTGAAAAGTACAGCCAGGTGACAAATGAAAGGAAAACCAAAACACCTGACCCATCAGGGTTTAGGTCAGAACTACAGATTCGCCACAGGCCCCATAGAGCTTATTTTATCATTATTATTATTTTGTGTCTCTATGTGTCAGTCTCGTAGACATGTAGCGTTCATTTCTGAGGGTGTGCACAACCAATGCTCCTAAGAGCAGGTGCATATAAAAGGTTTATCTGTGGTTTTGCTCAAGATAATCCTTCAGTTGTTCTCTGCCTGTTGTTATAGTGTACATCATAGCACTGAAAAGCACAATTTCCCTATATACTGAATTATTTTTATAGAGAGAATGGCAATGAACAGCTTTTATAAACACATACATAGATATATACGCAAACAGGCCTGTCTTAAATGAAAACGTGGGCCACTTTTCTGCTGACTGGGTGATCTGAGCCGATGAAAGAGGAGGAGGAAGAGGAGCGTCCGTGTGACCTCACAGAGACAAAATGGTGTTTGTTCAAGTGTCACAGTCTCAAACGCAGACCTTCAGGTTCATTGTATCACAGCTGGTGAACACACACGCTCTGTGGCAGGTCAGCCAGTTCATTGTGTTGTTCCTGTTTGCGTGAGCTGTTCCTCTGCAGCAGACAGGGTTTTTCACTCAGGTTGAGTCGGACCAGACAAGCAGCAGTTTCTTCAACCTATTTTAAGTGTCTTATTGTCTAAAGGAATAGTTCAATACTTTGACACTGTGTTCAGCACAGATGTGAGGATGTGGTTAGCTTAGCTAATCCTCTTAGCTTAGCAGAAAGACTGGAAACAGCTAGCCTGGCTCTGCCAAAGCTAACAAAGTCCACCTACCGGCTCCTTTACAGCTCACTAAGTAAAATGTTATTTTTCATTTCTTAAGGGGGAAGGGGCCTCCATTTGAAGTTGGTGTTAACATGTCGATCAGCCTCAGAAACCAAAAAAACACCACACAGTGACTCAGAACTGCCAGCTCTCCTATGTAGCATTCTTATATCTTTGCTCATTGTCTCATGATCTGTTGTTGTTTGCACACAGTGGATTTCACTAAATGTTGAACTGTTCCTTTAACCCCAGTCTAATCTGCTGATTCAGCTGTCTGTACTGCATCTCTAGAGCGTTGCTAATGTTCCTGGAAATCTGCCAGAGATTTCCAGGAACAACAGGGAGGCAGTGATAAAGTGAAGGAGTCAGCGAGCAGGACGGTGATTGACAGATGAGAAACATGAAGAAACCAGGACATCCCCACTAAAATCAGTTCAGGTGGGCCCTGATCCTCCCACTGAAACCAGTTACCGGCAACTGTTCTACAATAATTCAATTAATTAAGGTCCAGGAAAAGTACATCTGAATCTGAGGACCTTTAGTACTGTATACTTTTACTGCAGGAGGTTTCTGTAAACCTACTGTTTACCATCAGCTGTAAAATAACCGGGGTGTTGACGGAAACAGACGCTCGCTCTCGTCTTCACATCATGATTTGAACTGTTCATACACGTCTGAACCACAGAGCTTTTGATGAGGTGGTTGTACACTGTAAAAACTGCAACTTAGGATCTTTGGCATAAAGAACTGCCATAAGTAAACTAACAGGAGCTAAAATTCTGAACTGTGTTATGTCACTTTAACTTGGAGTATGGTAACAGGATAAAAACACTAAGTTGGATGAAAAAAAAACTTCACCTATTTTACAGTGTAGTTGTAGTGGGTGTAAATTTGACAGTCATTACAGAGGAATGTCGTCCTGCAGGTTTGTAATCCTTCAGTTGGGTTTAACCACGCCTGGTCTCATCTCACACTGTAAACGCTCACACAGCAGAGCAGCAGCTAGTAAATATTTTAGTTGTCTGTGAATTGTTTGGTCTGTTACCGGACACTAATATACATCTGTCAGTCCGAGTCGGTCTAACCCAACTGTCCTGCAGTGGCTCCTCCTTCGTGAAGGTCAAGATGTTTGGCTTGTGTTCAAACTGTTTCACAGAGGTGCCAGTTCACCTGTGTGGCACTGTGGAGGCTGCAGGCTGCTGATCAGCTGCATTATTATAAGGCGTTTCTGTTAATTTGTCCACCTTATTTATGTCAGTGAAGCTAAATAACAAACAGCTCAAAACAGTGTAATATCATATTGCAAAAAATAAATATCTGAGAAAGTCAGAATATTGTGTGAATAAATAAATAAAACAAAGTGTATACAGTCATGTAAACCCTCTATCTCTGTTTTTATTCTCTAGGACCTAAATTGTGTGACCTCAATATCATCTGTAAACAAACAAACACTAAAACTCAGGTGACAACAAGATAACACAACAGAATTCACTACGTGGTCATTGTTTCCCAGAGGTAAACCAACATTCACAAACCAGGTGGGAAAGTAAATATATACCCTGTAATTCAGTAACATGTAGAACCACCTTCAGCAACAGTCACCTGAAGTTAATATTTTCTGTAGGAGTTGATCAGTCTCCCACATCATTGTGGAGAAACGCTGACCCACTCCTCTCGACAACATGGTTCAGTTGAGTGACTAATCTCGTGGACCTGACCGGTAGCGCCTGGTACTGATTACTGCCAGCGACTGTGAAAGGGCGCACTTTGATTTTCCTACCCGGTTTCTGATTGTTGGTTTAGTTTTATGAAACAGTGACCATATATTGAAATCAATCGTGCTTTTTTGTATGTCACAGAAGTTGGTGAGGTCACACAATTGGGTTTTAACCTCAGATTAATAAAACCAGAAGTGAAGGAGGGCGTACGTTTGTTTTTCCATGACTGTGTGTGCTGAAGTTTGACAGGGGAGTTTACCTAGTTTGGCTGTATCTCTCTTCTGAAACAAAACTGAACCTCATCACATCATGAAGGAGGCTTTCTACTCTAACGTATGTGCAGAGAATCAGTTCTGCCTCGTTGCTCTTTCTGTTTAAAAGAGGTGGTCAGAATATTAGGAACACCTCTGAATACAATGCAGCCCAGTACAACAGCATCATTCTCCAGTGTATGAGATCAGCGCTGAAGCACAGAAATGAATGAACAACAAAAACCAAGTATCTTACACTTGAAACAGTCAACTGTTGCACTAGACTGCACAGGTTGTACAGGTGTACCTAACAAAGTGGACTCTGTGTGTGTGTGTGTGTGTGTGTGTGTGTGTGTGTTACCTGGTCACTGCTCGTGTGCAGACTGTCACCATGAAGCAGCAGCCAACGATCACCCAGCCCCACCCGCCGTCTGGAGGAGATACCCCGCCGCTCTGTCGCTTCCCATAAACCATTGCTGCAGCTACACACGGAGCTGAACTCCCCAAGCCAGCCTGTGGAACTGGTCCTGGTCCTGGTTGCTGGTTCTCTGGAGATGCAGCCTATGAGTTTGTCAGATTTAAGGTGTGCAGGACTTAAAGCTCTGTGTCTCTGCAGGCCAACTCCTCAGAGATACCCAGGCAGAGACAGGAGTCACCCCTCCACAGCCAAGAGGAAGCAACCGGCCGGGTGGAGCTGAGCAGCGCAGAGAAAAGCAAGAAGTGAAAAGTTAAAAATGACTAAATGCAGATGGAGTGGAACAGGTTACAGAGCATACAGAGTTGTCTGAATGAGCTTAGTCTAAGCATCACAATATATAGGAGAAAGGGAGCTCCCTAAAGACGCATCCCAGGCATTAATCAAGTTGTAAAGTAGATTTAAGTAGCAAAACGGAAGTTGAAGGGGGTTGCCCTCATAACACCTTAGACACTGAACAAGCTGTTATGCCTGTTTATCTTCACAGTATATGGCAGGAACAGTTCATGGCTGGCTCCTTTAACTCTGGAACGCCATTTGGTTGAACATATAACAAGAGTACTAAAACAAAGATTAAGACATGTCCTTCACAGGTCCCTGTCCTGAAGGTTTGAAATCCATTGAATAGCATATAGCGATTAATATATTGATTAAAATATATTCATTTTCTACCGCTTAGTCCCTGAACAGGGTCACACCGGAGCCAATCCCAGCCAACAATTGGGCGAAGGCGGGGTACACCCTGGACAGGTCGCCAATCCATCACAGGGCTAACACATAGACGAACAACCACACACACACACACACTCCTATGGGCAATTTAGAGACACCAATCAACCTAAGCTGCATGTCTTTGGACTGTGGGAGGAAGCCGGAGTACCCGGAGAGAACCCATGTAAGCACGGGGAGAACATACAAACTCCACACAGAAAGGTCCCAGGTGGGGCCCGAACCCAGAACCTTCTCGCTATGAGGCAACGGCGCTAACCACTGTGCCACCGTACATATTTAATAATGTAATTCTCCTGACACTTATCCTAAGAAATGTCTTCAGTCAATATGTCACCAGCTGACCCTCAATCATTAACCGGCCTCTCAGGTTGGAGGCGATGGGATATTAACCAGGTGCCCCCCGATCCACAGGAACATTTGATTTGAAGCCCATTTATTCTCTGATGTCTGTCTTTGTCTGTTGGTTGTCTGCTCAGCCTCAAACCCAGCATTCCCTCCTTAGCAGCAACAACAGGGCACACTTCATCCACTTCATCTGACACTTTCCCCTGGTCCAGGACAGGACAGGGGTTCATGTCAGGTGTCAGAAAAGAAGTCCTGGCTCTGATCAGGGCTTGTAAGCTGGCCTTCAGGACAAGGGACAGCTCAGGATATAGCACTGCTAGAGCTGACCTGAAGAGAGGCATACGACATGCCAAGGAGGTCTACAGAAGGAGGATGGAGGGCTACCTCACGGACAACAGCCCATGGCAGATGTGGAGAGGGATCCAGGCCTTAACCAACTATAAAGGCCAGTGCCCAGTGACCATCAGCTAGAACAGCACACTGGCGAAAAATCTAAATACAGGTGTAGCTCAATAAATTAGAATATCGTGGAAAAGTCTATTTATTTCAGTAATTCAACTCAAATAGTGAAACTTGTGTATTATATAAATTCAGTACACACAGACTGAAGTAGTTTAAGCCATTGGGTCTTTTAATTGTGATGATTTTGCTCACATTTAACAAAAACCCACCAATTCACTATCTCAATAAATTAGAATATGGTGACATGCCACTCAGCTAGTCAACTCAAAACACCTGCAAATGTGTCCTGAGCCTTCAAAATGGTCACTCAGTTTGGCTCACTAGGCTACACAATCATGGGGAAGACCGCTGATCTGACAGTTGTCCAGAAGATAATCATTGACACCCTTCACATGGAGGGTAAGCTGCAAACATTCATTGCCAAAGAAGCTGGCTGTTCACAGAGTGCTGTATCCAAGCATGTTCACAGAAGGTTGAGTAGTAGGAAAAAGATGCACAACCAACCGAGAGAACGGCCCGAGAGAACCGCAGCCTTGAGAGGCTTGTCAAGCAAAATCGATTCAAGAATGTGGGTGAACTTCACAAGGAATGGACTGAGGCTGGGGTCAAGGCACTC